CACGCTTTGCATTGTAAATTGGCCCTTTTGCGTTATAAGTTGACCCTTTTGCCAATCACGCTCACCTTTTTTGCGAGTCAAATTCACCCTTTCACCGAATCGAATTTGCTTTCTGTAGGTTATTGTGATAATAACAAAATTCTGTGTAAATATGTTAAGTGTCAAATACCAGTATATTTAAATATCATACGTGATAAAAATGAAATCCTACGTTTTATCACGTGTATGTAATAATACCTGAACAGGAAACACAAAATGGTTCTACAGGTAAGGATAGTTTTATGTACAATCTATGTGGAGTTGAAAGTATTTCGAAAAGTTATGGGGACCGGACAGTGTGAAATTTTCAAAAAATCGATTTTTTTGTTTTAGAGTAGTTTGAAGTCTTAGAAATGAGATCTTAGTAGTTTGAAATCTTAGAAATGAGATACAAAAGGTTCTAGCCTTTAAAACGACTTGTTTTGAGGTAGTAATAAATAAGTAATAATAATGAGTAATAATAAATCCGTGGATAGAGAATAATTGAATTTGTATCACTGTTTACAACTTTAAGCAGTATTATAAAGTGTAAATCGTGTGATTTAAATATTGCTTTCGGTGAATCGAATATTAGAGGACTTGGATTCAATTTAATTGTGAATTGTAAGAACTGTAAGCCGCGATGAATAAGAAAAAAAAGTAAGTAAAGGATACATATGAAAAATGACGTTCTGAAACTTTAAACGCGTTTCTCTCGAAACTAGGTTTTTAGAAACGGTGTGCAAGATATCTCGGTATCTAACCAATCGATTACTGTGAAACTTGGTGCGTATCTTTAGTGTAACATTTACTAGGGATTGACGATCGAACATTTTTTAATTTTCAACAATTTCGAAAAATATAAACAAAAAAAAAACGTAGAAATTTTTGGCACAAATTCGATACATCAAAAACAAATAGCTGTTATTTTCATAATTTTCACAGAAATGAAAATGTTGGATCGTCAATCCCTAGAGAATATTGCTTACTTTTGAACTTTTCTTGCCTTTTTGTTGCAACTAATCCTGTTTGGCTGGAATCATGCACACCGATAATGATAGGCAATGTAAAAAAAAGTTGTGCTGTTGAAAAGCTAAATAAGAGCCCTCTTTTTTTCTCTTTTAATGTTGCTTTTTATAGTTCATAATGTGTTAGAATAAACCACAAAAGCTCATGACAAATATGTAGTTTTTTTTTTTTACTAGCCCTTTAAAGTATACGTAATTTTTAGTCCCGTCACACTGTCCTGCCCTCTTAAAAGAGAAAAATATTTCTTGCGCGGAATGTAATTTTTGAAAACTTCTGCGTCATTGGAGAACATGGTGTGGCGGAAATGGTAAAGTTTGAATCACTCGCGCGGTGAATTTGATTCGCGAAAGGAATAGCTTTGGTCTGTGAAAGGGTGAATTTTATTTGTAGATGGGTGAAAAGAGTTGATTTGGCGCGCAGAACCTGTATCTCGCAAGGAAATGTACTTTGACAAAGAGGAAGCATCGTCTCCCAGGAAAAGTTACGACAGCTCCGAGCACAGCGGCGAGCTTTTTTTTTTTTCGTGCCGTTTTGTGTCTCGAAATTGTGTTTGTGTTTCTGTTCGAGAAGTTTCGAATTTCACTGACAACGTCGGATCAGTTTTTTCACTTTGACATCCAATGTGATATCCTGTTGGATTGGCAAGTTTCTTACTCGACCAAAGTTTGATCCAATTTCACGTTGCATTGTCGACGTCACCGTCAGGAAACCGAAGGCAGCATTTGTCTTTTAAATTGCTGGCATTGCCAACGGTTAAAGAATGGCTCGAAATCAATTTCGATCGGTCGGATGTTTTCGTTAGTAAAGCCAGGGAGCATGGTTCACAATCGTGATTTCTTAGCCCTCGATCATCAGTCTTCCGACTAGCGCAATAATTCGAGATTTGGTATTTTTTTTTTTTTTAATAAAGTCTCTCGGTGTAACAGAATTTATTAATTTAAATTTACAAATAATAATATAATATATATAGTAATATTAATATATATATATATATAATATTATATATATTAATATTTATTATAATTAATATAATAATAATAATAATAATATTAATATATATAATAATGTATAATTTTATAATAAAATTTAATTGACGAAATTTCGGGAAAAAGACGGAAAGATTTCTTGCATATTTTGAATATATCTCCTTCTTCATCTCGAGTCACGTTCCTCTTTCCGAAAGTGAAAATGTATTCGGTATTTTGATCGCGTACTCCTCCATTCTCTACGTGTGTTAATAAGTTCTTGATGCTTAGAAGGATTTGCAATTCTCTGCCATTAATTCTCCCCAACTATATTATTTGCAGAACGACTCGGTCTGTTCCTAGTAATTAACGTGCAACAGTAGCGGGTTGCTAGTTTCGTTACGACGTAACGCGAATAAATTGAACTTGTGGATTCGTTCGAAGATCGAATATTCGAAGAAGGAAACGGCAGAAATTATGAACGTTTTCTATAAAAAAAAACTTACAGAAAAGATGGACGCGTGGATGCAATGTTTATATTTCGAATAATGTCAACAGTCAGCCTTATTATTTGATAATTTTGATTCACACCGATGCTACAACTGTGATAAATCAAATGTTAGTGAAAGCTAATCCTGAATCGTAAATAATTGAGAAACTTTTTTTAAGGGAATTATAAAGCACGTTGCAATCTTGCAAAAGTTTCATCTTCACGATGAGTAGAATAAAATGCAAAAAAAAAAAAAATATTTTTGACAATTTTGCGACAGCTCCTTTACCATATGGTATTTTCTTCAAATCGAAGGTGTAGAATTCTGTGACAAAATCATGGACAAACTTTTCTTTCCACCCTGTATCTCGGTGGAACCAAACAAGCCAAATGAAATTTTCTTCGAACCTATTTGTTTCTGCATGTATTTTGTCCGTCTGAGAATCTCAAGAAAAGTCTTCTCGATAGACATTCTTCGCGTGGGAGTAATCAAAATAGTCGAAACGAACAATCCACGATTATTCAAAGAAACTTTATGGATTTACAGTCCGTAGATTTTCATCTCTCGTCTCGAGATATCCTCGAAGGATCGTCGTGTGATCAATAATGGTGTTCCGAGACAATCTCGGAATCTCTCCTGACGGGACCATTCTCCTTTCGTTTCCAGAAACGTTTCTGCACGCGGTTACGCAATCAGTCGGAATGATTTTACTATGAACTGGAGGACTGTTCCGAAAGTTTCTGCACCGGGGATCAGAAAATTCTTAAAGTATAAAATTTGATTGCGCGAAAGTCTCCGGAAGACAGAGATTATTCACGGAACGTCGAATTAATCCTTCTCTCTGTTTGACTTTGCGAGAGCAAGTTAGATGAAATATCGTAGGAAATAAAATGTAGATGAAGTTGATTTAGAGAGAGACAGAGGGGGGGGGGAAGGGGAACGACGATGGAAAATATTTCCAGTACCTGAAAGCGACCGTTTGATACATCAGCGTCGTATTGTGATGCCGTTAATGGAATTATGATATTGGTTTTTCACAGTTCGCTGGCTTGCTTCGCGACCTTTCGCTCAACGAAAAATTACTTCCACGCCAAGTTTTGCTGGAGTGGACGTTGAAATTTGATTACGGTTGTTGTAAAAGTCGATGCACGTGTCCTAATGCGCGAGACGTGTCGCTTGTCGATGATAAATCAGATTTCCGCTGCATGAATGAACGGCCAGTAATTCGCGTATTCGGTGTGTCATGCAAATGTCGTTCCCTGGTATCAGCTACTGTCTTTGGCTTTACGCAAATACTGATTTATCTTGTAGCTATGCGTTATCAGTTCTACCGACTTGCATCGCTGTCGAATCCCTTGGCTGATATATATCACTAGCGGATGTAAATTACGAGGTAAAGAGGTGTACGTAAGGTGTTCATGAACATCTCGTAGCGAAAATTTCGCTTCCTAAAACGGTATTCTGGTAATCCGGCTAGAAAAAATTGACTTTTCGATTTTTTTCTAAGGAAACAATGATACATTTTGGTACGCAGTTTTCGCACACAGATTTATTCATACTTAAAGAGTATTTACCATTTTTCTCTTTTAACGAAATTAATGAAAGTTGTGGAAATTATATAGCCTTAGGTAAAGCATGTTTTTAAAAACGGGTTCGAATGACTGACGTGATTCTGGTCCACCTGGTTATTCGAAACTAAAAAAACCAAATTACATCTTAATTAGTATAAATATGGCTATCGTATGAACCACGGAAACAGCGAAATTTCGAAAATTAAAAAATGGCAGCATTTTGAAGTTTAAATATCGATTTTTCTCGTGCTTTTTATCCTTTGAGTGCTAAAAAAAAAATAGAAAAGAACATCAGATTTTGAAATCCGTGGTTCATGCGATAAAGGTACATCCGGCGAAGATCTCCTCCAAATTTCAAGTCAATCGGTCAACTAAAACGTGAGATATCCCGTCAGCCAATTCAAAAGGTATGGATTTGAGAAAAACACGTTTGAAGTTTCTGTTACTCGTTGTACAAAAATATTCATACTTACAATTAGTCGAGCAGTACAAAAAATAAAGTATTATAAAATAATAACAATATAAAAATAAATAATAATAATAATAATATAATGAATAATAATATTATAGATAATATTATATATAATAATAATATAATAATAATAAATAATAATATTATAGAATACAATATTTTTTGAGAAAAACATATTTGAAGTTTTTGTTATACGTTGTACAAAAATATTCATACTTACGTTGCGAGCAGTACACCGTTTCCTTTAAACGTCTATAACTTTGCTAATTTTACGAATTCAAACAAATTCTTTTACATCGACGTTTTCGAAAGCATATACTTTGAGAAAATTAAAAAAAAAAATCGATCTTTTTTAAGCCGGATTACCAGAATACTCCCTTAGATTGTACAAAAATTTTTCAAATGAAATATCGACGAGCTTTGCCCTTTGTTTTGCTAGTTTTTCTTGTTGCAGTAGTGAAGCTGTGCTCGGCAGAAACGTGTGACGAACGAAATTAGCCCTATTCTCCGAGAGTCGAATCATCTCGAATTACTTGCAGCTTTCCAAACGTTCTAAATCTTCATCTGCTAGAGCGTCTTTGTTTAGAGCAAATAGAATTCGGGCGGAGAGTGAATGCCGTAAGGGTAAACGAATTCACGTGGAATTAAGGTTGAACACGGAGAACTGGGGTGACGCTTAATGGAAAGTACTTGTACTTAGCTCGCCCGTAAAGTGAGTCATCGACGACACCTAAAAATAGATTAAAGCGTTCAGCTTGCCTTTCCAACTTCCGGGGAGAGGTTGTTCCTCTAGTTCGAGTCATCATTTTCTCTTTTTTTTTGGAATTCTTAATTTAGAGAAGCTTAATTTAGAGAAGCTTAAAAAGCAAAAAAATCTCTGTTAATTAATTGACGTTCTTTGACGTTAGGTAGCAAGAAATACTAGAGCTGCGAGTGAGAAAAAATAATTAAGAAAAATTACCCAACCCTTGATATTGTTTTTCATCAAGCAAAAAAAAAAAAAAGAAAAAGAAAAGGAAAAAAAAGACAATTGAAAGTACTTTCAGTATTTCGCAAAAGCTTGCAATATCAATCTCTGAAAATGATTTTTAAACCGTTTCCACTCTTTCCCGATTAATTCTCTTCAAATAGCACGGTGTTTTTACATTTACATTTTTTGTTGCGTTGATTTGAACAACAGAACGTTGACACAAGGATCGTGAGACTCGTCTATTTGGGATTAAAAATCACTCTGACCTTTCCAATTGAACGAACGTATTTGTACAGAGTGGAAAGAAAAGTTTGTTCGTGGCTATCACAGATGAATTCTACACCATCGATTTGATGGTGTTTTCATTCCATTTGGTGGCTTCAACAAATTTTTTTTCTTGGATTATACTCATCACGAAAGTGAAACTCATCCAACGAAGAGTTCTCTTGAAAAATGGCAAAATAGTTTCTCAATCATTTAACATCGCGGACGCGTGCATTCTAACAGCGACTATATGGTTCTGGATCAGGTTTCACTGACATTTGATTTATCATAGTTGTAGCACGAGAGTCCAAGTAATCAAAATTAACATTAATTCGATATACAAAAGTTACGTCCACATGTCCAGAACTATAAATTCGCTGTTAGAATTCACGCATTCACAGTGTTGAGTGATTGAAAAACTTTTTTTGCCATTTTTCGATAAAACTATCTGGTTACGACCTATGATTTCTTGGAAAAGTTTTATCTTTGTGATAAGTAAAATGCAGTGCAAGAAAAAAAAATTGTTTCGATCTTGAAATTCTAGATCAAGGTCAATTTGTATTTCCATCAAATCGAAGGTGTAGAATTCATCTATGATAGCCACGGAACAACTTTTCTCTCCACCTTGTACGTACTTGATCGAAATTTATACGAAACACGTGTTACGAATGCTCGTAGCTTTTGTTGACTTGATTGTCACTTCGCTCGACAAGTCCGTTTCAATCGGGTATTAATTAAAAAGAAATGTTTAGGCGCACGGCCGCGAACAACGGCGGCGTTCTCGTGTCATTCGACCGAAACTTTTGCGATGCTTCCACATTATAATTCTGGGTTACGAGGCTCGCCAAAGTAGGCCGAGCCGTGAAACCGGCGGAAAACTTCACTCGTCGAGTAAGAGAGTAGCTGTGTGCCACTCTCTCTTTTACCTTCTCGTATCCTTGCCTCCACTCTTTTCTTCTCTTTTTTTTTTTTCTCCGCGTCTTTGACTCTTCCCTCTAGGCTTGTCTTTCTTGCACTTTTCCCTCACTTTCCCTCGTCGTCATCGATCTGTGTACGCGTCATTGAGTCCCACTCCACTTACAAACTATCAAATACTTCCGTGAACGTACGTACACGGTCGGCGAAAATGGTCGTTTAATCCCTTGGTTGCGCGGACCATAACGAGTGACCGAACCGTATACAATAAACTCGTCGCTTTCTTTTCCTGTTGAACTCGTCGGTATGACATCACTGGATAGAAATTATTAAGAAGTAATAAACTTATCATATGTGTTGCCTAGGTTGAAAATTTATTTACATTATATAATAAAAATATTTTTAAAATTATGATTTTAACATTAATTAATTATTGAAACAATTTTATAATTTATTATTTTATATTTAAAAATTTATTTAAATATATATATATATAAAACATATATATAATTATTAAAAAAAAATTTTTTTTAATTATATAAATTAAGATATAATGATTAAATTAGTAGTATTATTATATAAATTATATTTAATAATATATAATATATATATAAATATAAGGATTTAGGCAAAATAAATATTACCTTTATCTAAATATATTTAAAACTGAGAAAATGTTGCAATTTGGGACAAAAAATTCTTGACGTACGTGGCACGTCATTCTAGAGGTTAATAAAGTAAGAAGAAATTAAGCAAAAATTAATAAATAGCATTCAACAGTAGTACCTTTGAACATAACAGAGTATTTTAAACGGTACTCTAACAAGCAGTTTCAACATTTTGATTCAAGGAAGAATCTAATAGAAGCCATCAGACTTATTACACAAATTCGAAGAAAATAGTCTACACCAACCATAGTTGTTCATTTTTCACAAGTGAATGGTCCTTCGAATGTATAAATTTTTGGCAAAGTGTACAAAATATCTTTCTGCAGCTTCTATTTCTAAAAATTATATTCTACTTTTTAAATTGCATTTTCAACAGTAAAAACTTGCACAAAAGTCGGCTGTGTTCAAAATGCGGACTTTGTCCATTGATTTTGGACAGAATTGGGCAAATCTAATTAACGATTGAAGATTACGATTAACGTGAGATCATTAGTTCCAAAGAATATACCAGTTCTGATTGTCCGTAACGTTTATTAATCGAAATTTGTTAACAGATGCAACGAGACTCGTGATGGTTCGTGTCATTTAAAGACGGGCTAAGTCGAATAATTCCAAATTAGTTTTCAACTCTTTCGTACGGTAAATGATAGTACCATGATAGAACAGTGTTTCGCGATTTTTCCAATTTTCCGTGAAATTTATCAAACAAAGACTCCGAGCGGCGTGTGTTACGTGTACGCATGGAAATTTAATTTTCATTGCCAAGAATACCATTTCATTTTCATTTCGGGAAGCAATCACGTCTAACCAGACGCGGAATTTTGCCAATCTCTTCTTTGTTGTCACGTTATTACTGTTGCAGGTCACCGACGCCTCGATGCCGGATTCGTCCACACTAACAACTGCTAATTGCGCCGATTTCACGTTGTGAAATGAAAGGGTGTCGGTGGTATCCGGTGGTACTCGATGTCACACGCGCCGTGTGAACTCGAGCGTTTAGCGTCCGTGTCGTTTGAGCGTGACGACCGTATCACGGGACAATTGCAACAGTGACGTATCTTTAATCTTCCTAATTAACTCGACGACCGCGTTGGTCGCGTGACGTTGCTCGATTTTTAGAGCGGCTCTACCGTTTGTCCAGTGTTTCCGTGGTTTCGTAATCGAGCGTGTCTCGTTTTTTTTTTTTTTTTTCTTTTTTCACCTCCGTGTCTGCTGAAGGTAATGAAACCTATTTTATACAATACAGCCTGCACGGCGAACGTGAACCCTGTATGTACATAGTAAGGTGGTCGTGAGAGTACGTAATAAAAAAAAAAATAAGTGATAACGTTAAAGTTGCTCGACGATGTTGGTTACTAATCTAGAATAGGTTTAGAAAAGGGTACAGCTTGTTGTTTGTCCTGTGTAAAGAGATATTGAAGTGGGAAGAAACGAAAAGAGCTTAATGACGCCGTTGATCGAGAGATGATCGTTTAAATCGTTTATTGGATTCCTGTGTAACTAGCTTCGGCGAAGGTTCGCGGAGTCGCGGCAGATGAGCCCCTGCCCGTCCGCGAGTCAGCCGAAGTCGAGAAAATTGCGATACGCACCTCGAAAGTAATTTTAATCGACGTTGTGATGATTTTCATTTCTTTTTCGCCGGTAGATTCTAAGAGCCGTAGGTTTAAGGATTATCCTACGTGATTTGATGGACAATTGTTCTGTGGCACAAACTGTAAATTACGTGTAATACAATAATAAAGCCGCTGATGTAATACAAAGAGGAGATTGAACTTCGTAACGATCTCTCTTGTTCGGCTTTTCCCTCCCTCCCTTCACGAGAAAATGCTTCCTTTGTTCCTGTGCTTTTCAGATCCTGTTGTTCACGAAAATCCCGATTTTACGCGCGGACCTTCATTTATTTGATTCGTTAATTTGTAATTCCCTTTCAACGTTGTATTTTTACACGCCTTTCAGTGCAGATCTTTATTTACTTCATTTGTTAATTTATTTATTCTTACTTGTCAATTCACTCCCGCAGCATTGTGTTTCTACATGCGTGTTCTGGACTTTTTCCAGATCTTTATTTATTTTATTTTTGTTAATTTGTAATTCTTTCAACGTTGTTGCTTTTACACGTGCTTCAGGGGCGGATCTTTATTTATTTGTCAAGTTGTTAAAGTGATTTTATTTGTTACTACCTTCAGCACTGTGTTTTTACACGCGTTTTAGTACAGACTTTCATTTATTTTACCTGTGAATTTGTAATTCTCGTTTCAAACTGTTTCACATTCACTTGAATGCAATTTCTCTTTCAATTTTGCTCATTCTGTTCATTTCATGCCGACTGTTGTTTGAATCAATTGGTCCCTACCGAATTCAGCAAAGGAGAACGTTCTGTAAATTTCAGAGTCTGAGTTGCAAGTTTTTGCTCGACAAAGAAGGCGATGGATTTCAACTCGTGGAAGGATACGTTTATTACGTTTCAACGTTTCACGATTGCGGCGAACGCAATGAGACTCTTAAGTACAAAGGATTGAATGGAGATACCATTTCATCTGTGGTCGCAGGAAGTTTTAAACTTAATATTTTACGAGGAATTCCCTTTTATCACTTTTCAGGAGTCACTGTCTCGGCGGAGATAACGACCACGTTCTAATTTTCGCAATAAAAGCGCGATTCGCCGGAAATTCTCGCACGGGGTAAGTAGTACGAGTCAATGATTAACAACCACCGAGCCAACGACTCGTTCGCTATCGCCCCGTTTTATATCAGACCATCACGTTTTATTACAAACATTTATCTCCATTCTTTAATCTACCTCGTGAATCGAACCAATTTTAATTTAATTCTCGTTATCGCAGTTTGAACGTGTCTTCGTTTAATTCGAATCCCATGATCAATTTAATACGTCAAAATCGTTCGACTCGGTCGAATTATCAATGATCATCGTCGTTCCATCGAACAAATCCCATCGTGAATTTCGTCATTAGGGAGAGTACGAGGTCTGTTTTTTTTTTTTTTTTTTTTTTTTAATCGAACTCGCTTCCCCCGATTGCTTCTCGTTTCCCCGAGATCGAAACGAAAGAGAGAGAGAGAGAGAAAAGGAAAGGTATGCGCGCGTGCACGTGTTCGGTGAATCATGCGGCGTCGTTCGACGGATTACACGAGCGACGTTCGATTTGCAACGGTGGAAAGTCATTTTACGCGTGATTCGACAAATGTTCCCACGACTCGCAGGGGAGGGGGGAGAGTTTGCCGACACATAATCCGGAAGAGATTACCCCGGCTCGGTATCGTCGGCTCGTATCCGTCGAAATGATGGACGATCGAGCAAGAAACCCAGGCTGGTTTTCATTGCTCCGGTGTCCCGGGGCGATGCATCGTCGCAGGCGACGTAATATCCACGCGGAAGCTCGATAGACGAGCGCGCGACTTAACGACAACGTTCCACCGGCAAGAGACTAACGATCGGTGGACGACCGGCCGGTGAAATTATTTTCGAAGAAGGCTAATGCTCCGGGAGAAATGTGAGATTGTCACGAGACGCTGGCCACTCTGGCGATATTAACCTCTTAGCTACTGAATCCCACTATAACGCTGTATACCACCTTTTTTTTTCAACTTTTCTCGCCACTGTATTGGCTTTCGTACGTGTCATCTTTTTTAATGGCAACGATAAGTATAATCACTGCAGTCGCTCACTTGTTTCTTACGAGAGAATATACTAAAGTGTCGGTCACCGATTTTTGACGAAATTTGGCACGAAAAAATATTTGACACGTGTCTTTCCTTTTTATCAACAATTGTTGATGTTTTGTTAAATATCTTACGGTTTACGTGTAAATTGATGAAATCGGTGTTTTTCAATCGACTAAGAGTCGACTATCGTCAGCCGAAGAGAACTGTTATGATTTTTCAAACTCCAATCTATTCTATAGGTTTCTCAATTTTTCAAAACTATAGTGGCTCACTTGTTTTTTAGTCGAAGTTGTTCACACTGTTACGATTTTTCAAATTCTCTGTAAAACAGACTTCAATCTATTGATTTTTTTTTTTCAATTTGAAAACTATAGTGGTTCACTTGTTTCTCAGTCGAGAAAAAGAGCTGTTACGATGTTATGATTTTTCAAACTCTTTGTAAAACAAACTTCAATCTATTCGTGTTTTCAGTTTAAAATTTCTTTATTCAAAAGAAGATTGTCTCGAGTAAAATTTTTTGTTCCAACGTAACTTAATAAGTGTAGTGTAAAGTAGTAGTGGTAATAGCGTAAAGCACCGTCGGTTATAAATTTCATCGTTTTTGCATCGTTTTGTACACTTTGGGCTCTGCCTTGCAGAAGTATAGGTTCGCGAGGCTAGCGAGGTTAAGCCAGGCTTTCGATGATAGCTTCCATCAAACTACTCAACCAACTCACTCTCGCAAGAGAAAAAAAAGAAAAAAAAAACCAACGAAAGATCGACGTCGTTAGCGTCGGTTAATCGTCAACCTCCCAGCCTCTCGTTCATTGTTCGCTGCGCCAAGCAGGCTGGTTCGACCAGAGTTATTGCTGTCGCTTAGATTAGCCTTGTACTACGGCCGCAACGGGAGAACATAATGTGGCATTGAATATGCATCAGGGTCACTGAATATTAACGACGTCACTGATAGTCACATCACTATTTTCGCTAAACAATAGCGTTTAGCGCGTGCAAGGAGGTGTGATTTTATTGTCTTTATCGGCTGAATTTGTCTTCCGCGATCTCGCGCTAAATTTTTCACTAGTTTACGAGTTTTACGCGAAGTCTACAGGTTGCTTTTTGAGAGAAACGGTACAACACAATTTAGAACAGCAAACACCAAACCTTACCAACAGAAAAGAAGAAATAATCATCACACGCCTAAGAACCGGTCATACCAAGCTGACACATGAACACAAAGTCCAAAATACTTTTACTCACCACCCACCTGCACTCATTGCAATAACCATCCAATAACCCACATACTGCACGAATGCCACACCACAGAAATCCAAAGACAGAAATACGGAATCAACGCAAACATAAACCTGACTTTTCAAAATGACATACAAAGAGTACTAAAATACCTCAAAAACATAAACTACTACACATATATCTAATGGCACCGTCATCGCTAATGACCTCGCTGTCGATGCGACATTAAAGAAAAAAATAGAAGAAGAAGAAGAAGAAGAAGAAGACAATTTAGAACAATTAACGAATATCAAGGAAACATTTTCGCTAAGCAATGACGTTTAACGTGTGCACGAAGAAAGTGTCGTTTCATTGGCCTTTGGAAGAAGGAGAGAAACAAGTATTTTCATACGCAGAAATTTCAGCATGTGATACTCGATGATAATCGTCGAAGATATTTACTTTTAACTAGAAAGGATGGAAAAGTCTGTGGCTCGTGATCGCGTCGATATTCCGTACAAAAGTCGATGTATTCCAGAACCATGAGGGCACATACGGTCACACACTCCTCTGTTACAAGGCTAGCACGAACAGAGAATTTTGAAGCACTGCGGTAAACCGGCATAAATCGTCCTGAATCGCAGGATGAACGATATACTGCTGCTGGAATACTAATGCGCTGCCTGTCGATAAGTAACGACCTTTTTTCTCCGTGACACGACAGCTCTCCGCGGTTTGAAATCAATCTCTCAAGGTTCACATCCGGCAGCGGGATTCTTATTTCATTCATCCGTGTTCTTGGCACGTTATGGAAGCAACAACTGGGCTTTTCGCTTGCGCGAAAGGAAAAAAACAACCTGGCTTTTCGAGCTTTTACGGCTGGTGTAATTTGTCTTTGCGGTAGTTTCGTCTTGCTTGTCATATTCTTTTTATTGAACGTTTCGTTGTGGAAGACAGTTGTCGCACGGTACTTGCAATCTCTCTGTGCCTCGCTTTCTATATAATAAGAATCTCTTGTAAAGCGCATCAAGGTGAGTTTCGCGATAGTAAACTGGAATTACAGTATAGTAAATATTATATAAGTAATATCTTATAAGTAAGAAATATATATATATATATATATATTATAAGTAATATATTATATTATATTATAAATAATATTATAATTTATTATATTACAAATAATATATATACATAATATAAGTAAGAAATATATTATAGTAAATTGAAATTAGATTATAATCGAACGTAAATTACGTAGAAATTCACAGTTGAAGAAACAATTAATTAACCATTTATAATTCCGAGTAATTTGCAACAGTTGGCTTAGAAATTTATCGTTTAATTCCAAGGGATACTTATTTAATGCCAACGGTATTTCAGCTCGTTCAATCTGCCGAATTTGACGAGTCGTTGGGACGACAAACGCGTCGTTACTACTTATATCCTCGGAACTATTTAAAATTATTTACAACTGAAACTGGCGGATCGCGTATGTATCTTAGCGATTCCATCGCAGTAATGGCACCATGAAAACACTATCAGATATTAAATCTCGACGGCCCGCCATCTCACAAACAAGCGGCGGGACGTGTACTGTCTCAGCGGGCTGGCTGGTATCGATCCCCCCTCCCCGTCTTCGATCGATCGGAACCCGATCGGAACCTGCTCCGAGCTCGGCGGGGATGATCGAACGAACGAGAACGGGATGGAGAAAGGAGGTTGGATGGCCAATAATAACGCGTGTCCCAGAGGGAGGATAAGAAAGAAAAAGGGAAGAGAAGGAGATGGAGAACGAGCTGAAATACCCGGAAGCGTTTTCTCCTGCAGAGGAGAAGAATGCCGCCCGTCGTGATAAGACTTTTCT